CATGTGGTACCAATTGTTATCCTTACCGGTCCTGCTAGGTCCATCCCTCAGACAGATAACCACCAATAAAAGCCCATCCCTCAAAACTCATCCCTCGGGTGTGGTACACAAATGATGCATGTACATGTGCAATCTCAAAAATCATATGCAATTAAGACCATCCCTCAATCTTAATTATACAAGCATACATCACCTAATTCATCATATTTGAATTATCTTCAGCAAATTGCACAACATACATATTTCATGTCATCAATCACACATAATTCATTCTCATAGCATTAATTACCTCAACACGTCATTATAACATGTAGAAAACAAATTCTAATCATGTTATTCACATTCATCATCATTTCACATCATACATATACACAAAATCAAGTGTTATGTTTCTCATCAAAAGTCATCCAAAATCAATCCAAAACACATCGAGTAAATTATTAAAACTCATGGAAATCCTTTATAAATCATAAGTATACATAACCCCCAATCAATCAGACAAAATATAAAATATTTTGTCCCAGGGCACGCTAAGCGGGCTCGCGATTATGCTGAAAAATTCCGGTGCAAACAGCCTTGGGTTTCCACGAGATTCAACCCCGAAATCCATCCAAACAATCATTTTCATGTGATTAAATATATTATAATATATACCTAACATGTAGCATCAATTACTAGCATTTTGAAGAACAAATCTTTAATTTCATATTACTACCCATCACATACCATTATATACACCCATAAATCAATGAATACTCACCCTTACCTTAGATGTAGATACTTTCTAGGTTTTCTCTTTCTTCTTCCTCATAAATTAAATAGATTTGGGTCAATGATTTGGTTTTCCATGATCCTATAAGTTAAAATATTTTTATAAATCTGGATTAGTGATGCTGCTTTTGTCAGGATTTTTGGCAATATTGGGAGTGAAAATAAAAGGGCGGTGACATATAAATATGACATATTGTAAGTTTATAAGTAGAATTCCATCATGTTTTTTATTTTAAAGATTGACTTTATGTGTCTTCATTGTTTTATATTCATGCTAATACCATTTTATTCATATTTATTATTTAAATGAAAATTTTAAACTCATATAATAAATTTCTTAAGTCAATAAATTTCATAACCCGATATCGTCTTACATTAACCCGATCTAAACTACTTATAAATTATCGGGTTTTTTCAGATTTAGATACGGGCTATGGTCATTAAAATAATTCGATTAAAATTTAAAACAGAGTTATGGTTAGTAAAAACCCTTTCCAACCCGTACATTGTTTACCTCTAATTAAGCGCATTTTATAGTAGTATTAACGAATCCAACTGTACACTAAATTGATATTCATTGTCGTGTCGTCGTCACCGATTTTGCCATCACACTTATTTCTAAATTCTACACTCTTAAAACATACTTCTCTTAACTACAAATTATGTCGTATCCTTTAGACCACCTCCAACGGTGGTTTTTCAGATTGGTTTGCCAGCTTGGCATTGAAATTGTCAATAAAAAAGTTGTTCCAGCTGGTGAACGGTACAAATATAAGCAACGACTCTTCATATTTTTTTATTATTAAAATAATCAATTAGCCGTTGTGCAACGACTTTATTTTTTTATTTTTTTTTAAAACTTTTTTTATTTATTATAAATATAGGTTTGTTGGAAAATTATATACCAATCCTATTTTCTCTCACTTTTATTTACTCTTTAATTTCAAATTTCTCTTTCACAATTTCATCATTTTATTCATAAATTTTTATTTTTTTTCCAACAATTTCTTCTCATTATCATTTTATTTCAAATTTTCATCTTTTTATTTCAAATTACATTTGTTTAGGCCAAATGGATCCTAATCATTTTCATTATCAACAAGCTATGTTCAATTTCATGCAAAATTATCAAAATCCTAATTCTCAAAATTCTCAAATTCCATCAGTACCACCAAACCCCGCCATATTTTTTTCGTCACCAAACAATCCAAATATGTATCAAAATCCTAATCCTCAAAATTCTCAAGTTCCACCATTTTCTACTCAAGTTGGTGTTAAAAAAGAAGAAAGGGTTCTCGTTAAAAAAAAATCTCGAGAGCAATTTACAAGGGATGGGGATATATGTCTTATCCAATCATGGCTCAATGTTTCAAAGGATCTAATTGTGGGAGTTGATCAAAAAGCTGAGAGTTTTTGGCATAGAATCGCTGCAAATTATAACCAGTATCGCGGGAAATTGTGAGAAAAGTTAAGTGGTCAATTAAAATGTCGATGGCATCGAATAAATGCGTCGGTTCAAAAATTTGTTGGGTGTTATAGACAAGCCGTCAATGGAAAGAAAAGTGGGACATCAGAGAACGATATCATGGCTGCTGCACATGCTTTTTATGCTCAAGATCAAGGTACAACATTTAATCTTGAGTATGCATGGCGATTGTTCAAAGATGAAGCTAAATGGGGCATCATCGGAGAATCGATTGGAAATTCTTCAAAAATGACACAGACTTCTGCTAGTGGGGCATCATCGGAGATCCCTGATACACCTTCAAGTTATGAGTTTAACTCATCATCACCAATGGAGCGTCCAATGGGACAAAAAGCAGCAAAAAGGAAGGGTAAGGCAAAGGAAATTTCAAATGCAACGCAAGATGCAAGGAATAAAAGAGCAGAAACAATGGAAAGACTTGTGCAAAGTAAGGAGGACGAGATATAATTAAAGGTAATGCAAATCATGATGAAAGACACTTCTACTATGAACGAAAGTCAACGAGATATTCATGAAAAATATTGTAATAAAATGAAAAAAAAAATGGACTGTAGTTAGTACCACTTTAAATTATATGTAAAATGGTCATTAGTACCACTTTAATTTATCAAATCCTATGTAAAATGGTCATTAGTACCACTTTAAATCATAATAAATATTATGTTGTTCAAACTAGCCGTTATTCCAACTAGCCGTTATTCAAACTAGCCGTTATGAATAACTAGCCTTTATTCAAACCATTATATATACTACCACTTATGTCATTGTTTTCTCATTCTCTTCTTATTCCTCACTAAAATGGATTCAGACAATTCAGATAATTACGATCAAGAATTTTGGGAGTTAGTTGAAGAAGAATTTATGGACGACAATGATGAAGAACAACATCTTCAAAATGAATGTCAATTTGGAAGTTCCTCTAGGCCAAAGAGAAGAACTACGGTAGATCGAGGTCGTGAAGAAGGGCACAATCGGTTATTCAATGACTACTTCTCAGAAAATCCAGTATACACAGATGTACAATTCTGAAGAAGGTTCAGAATGCATAGGCATGTGTTTCTTCGAATTGTAGATGCCCTCGGCAATCATGATGAATATTTCCAAATGAGGGTCAATGCAACTGGTAAGATGGGTCTTTCACCATTGCAGAAATGCATATCTGCTATTCGTATGTTGGCATATGGGTCTCCCGCTGACATTGTAGATGAATATGTTCGAATCGGTGAAAGTACCTCAATTGAGTGCTTAGAAAGATTCGTTAAGGGCGTGAATGTTGTATTTAGGGCTGAGTATTTGAGAAAGCCTAACAACACTGATATTGAACATCTTTTACAAATGGGTGAGTCACGTGGCTTTCCAGGTATGTTGGGTTCCATTGATTGTATGCACTGGGAATGGAAGAATTATCCTGTTGCATGGAAAGGACAGTTTTGTCGAGGTGATCATGGTAAACCCACGATCATGCTTGAAGCAGTGGCATCACAAGACTTGTGGGTTTGGCATGCATTTTTTGGTATTGCAGGTTCAAACAATGATATTAATGTGTTAAACAAATCCAATGTGTTTAACGATATTTTGGAAGGACGTGCTGCTAATGTGCAATATACAATCAATGGAACTCCTTATAATATGGGGTATTATTTAGCGGATGGAATATATCCTGAGTGGGTTACATTTGTCAAAACTATTTTGATGCCACAAGGAGAAAAGAGAAAACTATTTGCACAACACCAAGAATCAGCTAGAAAGGATGTGGAACGGGCATTTGGAGTGCTTCAATCTCGTTTTGTAATAATACGTGGTCCAGCGCGTGCTTGGCACATGGAAACCCTCAAGCATACCATATATGCTTGCATCATATTACACAACATGATTGTCGAAGACGAACAACACACATATGGAGGTGATTTTGATTACTCTTACGATAATGTCGGTAACAACAACTCAACGACTGAAACATTTAACGGTCCTCATCTGAATCTTGCAACAAGACTACAAAGAAGATCAACTCTTCGTGAAAAACAAGTTCATCGCCAACTTCAAGGAGATCTAGTCGAGCATATTTGGAAACGTTTTGGACATGAGGACGATGGAAATTAAATTTGAGTAATTATGTTACGTAATTTATTTTTATTGTTTTTAATTATATGTCATGTATTTGAGATTAATTTTAATTATCATTTTAAATTTTATGTTTAATTTTAATTTTATTTATTTTATATTAATTTAAATTTAAATAATTTAAATTATTATTTTAAATCAAATAAAATTTAGTATGAATAAAATATTAATATACAAAATAAAATTGTGGAACCCAATATAAGTTCTTTAAAATTGCACCATTAAAGTAAAAAATAGAGTGAGTTGCTTCAAGATGATGTGGCTTAATGGGTCCCACAAAGAATCCAAATACTAATATCACCGTTGGGAGATGGCTTATAAAAAAACAAAACAAAATGCTACCCACTTGTCAAATTATAAATATACTAATACACTATCTTACAAAATAAAGTTTTACCTAACGTTTTATAATAACAACACAGAATCCTCTCCAATCTCAATATCCATGCGACTTTCATCTTCTTCTCCAATCGCATCCACTCTCCACTTTCCTTCTCTCTGTTACCAAACATGCCCACGGTACTCTCCCTACCATTTCCTTCACTGTTCGCGTAGCTTCTCTTCTTCGACCCGCTTCATCGTTTACCCTCCAAACTTCAGACCACACAACAACCCAGCTAGCTCAATACTCCCTCCGCCCTGTTTCCGCCGAACACCACGCGGTACCCATCCCTTCCGCTCCATTCACAAAACTCACCCATCCGTTCATCTTCAATACTCCTCCGAACACCACCTCTGTTCCATGACTCCGCAGCTTTAACCCAACCACATGTAGCAGCTCAACATAGTCCTCCAATCCACTGCCATAGTTCCTCTGTTCAAGACTGTCAACTTCACCATTGTACTCCACCATCCTGCAGCTCAACAACACATCTCAAACTCCTTTTTTTGTTAATTTGGTAAAACTTCACATTTCTTTTATTTTAATTTAGATAGTGTTTATTTGTGTTAATAGTTTTGATAATATTAGTGTTAATTTGTGTTGCAAATTTTGTCATGCGGTGACTCTTTAATATGTCTGATATCAAAAACCTGAGAAATGCAACTGTCAACCATATTTACTGTATTCTCATCTCTGTTTCTGAAGATTTTGATGGTACCTTGATCTAGCAGCCGTTGGAAGTCTCTTTTCACGGCAGATCACCCCCAAGAGTCATATATATAAACCACGCTCTTTCTCTTATTGCAATTAATTGTTCATCCGAGAATTCTTCTTTAATGCTGATTTCTTTCTTAGTCACTTTTACGTTCTTCAACTTGGATAAATGATCGGCCACCACATTTTCTACTCTCTTTTTATCTTTAATTTCTAAATTGAACTCTTGAAGCAGGAGCACCTATCTCAACAACTTGGACTTAGAGTAACTTTTGTTGAATAGATATTTCAAAGTGGTATGATCTGTATAAATAACACTTTTGAACCAATTAAATAAGGACGGAATTTTTTTAACGCAAAACCCACAGCTAATAATTCTTTTTCAGTAGTCGTGTAATTAACTTGATATTCATTTAAAACTTTGATGGCATAGTAAATTAAAAGGAAATTTTTTGCATGTCGTTGGCTAAGTACCGCGCCAACCATCTATTGGAGTAAATAGAATTGACATATGGATGGCATATAAGCTGCTCAAATAAAGAGGGCGCCACTTGCTACTAAACAAAACATGCAGAGGACACATAAGTTGCTCAAATAAAGAGTGTGTCACTTGCTACCAAACAAAATATGTCGGGGACATATAAGTTGCTCAAATAAAGAGGCTACTACTTGCGGTCTGACTAAGATTCCAAGAGAGTTTCATAAAACAATGTTGGTTAATAACATTCTTATCTTCTGATGGGGAAATCATAAACATATTTCAGCTGAGGAGTACATAACCCTCAAAGGTTGAAAGCGATAGAGAAGATCTTTCGAGTCATGAATTGTCCAGATGCGTAGAAGGTGCAGTTTAGCACTCATATGTTTGAAAAGGAGGTAGAGGAGTGGTGGGTTACACTAGTCAGAGGTTTGAGGAAGACGAAACTGAGGTTACTTGGGGTGTTTTTCAGAGAAGCATTTCTTGAGAAGTATTTTCCAGAAGATGTGCGTGGGAAGAAGGAAATTGAGTTCCTTGAGCTGAAGCAAGGTAATACAACTATGGCAAAGTATGCTGCAAGATTTGAAGAGTTGATTAAGTTTTATCCTCATTATAATACTACTAATGTTGAGAGATCCAAATGTCTTAAGTTTGTGAATGGTTTGAGGCCTGAGATCAAGCAAGCTATGGGTTACCGGCAGATTACATGATTTTCTGAACTGATTAACAAGAGTAGGATCTATGATGAAAATAGTAGAGCTTGTTCTACTCACTATAAGAGTTTGAATGAGAAGAAGGGAAAAGCTCAATTCAGAGGAAAGTCATATGTGACTCTTGATGATAAGGGAAAACATAAAGTTGGTAATGACAAGAAGTCGAGTGAAGGAGGAGCTCCCGCTTCAGTTAAGTGCTATAATTGCATGATGGGTGGCAAATAGTTGGTTTAGGGCTTAGGGTTGCACGATCTTATTGTCATGTACCAAGTTGTTCTCTACCAATTTCCACAAAGGGAAACCGATGTGAATCAGTATAAGATGTGTCGATTTTGTCATTCTATCAACAATCATCAAAATTGCATCATACCCTCTCGGAGTATTCAATAATCCCATTTAGGGGTGTTCAAAACCAAACTGGCCCAATAGAAAACCGTAAAACCGAACCAAACCAAACCAAAATCGCAAAAAACCGCATTTGGTTCGGATGCGTTTGGGTCATTTTCTCGCGGAACCGCACGGTTCAGTTCGGTTTGCGGTTTGTATTTTACAAACCAAACCAAACCAAACAAAACCGCATTATGTTATAAAATCTTACTAACCAATATATATTTCTTTAATTCTTTAGATAAATAAACATGTATTATGTGTATATTTTATCATACCTTGTATTATACTCATTTTAATTTACAAATCATAAAAAAAATAAAATATTATTCATTTATAAATACTATTTCCACAAACTATATTTTATCGTATTCTTTGTATAATATTTATTTAAGAATGCAATCTTGTTTATATCATTCTTTAGATTTAGATAAAATTATAATACGCAATTTTATGTATCAAATTATAAACTTATTTTGACAATTATAAATTTTTTTATGGTAATGTACGAACAATTAAACACAAAATTATATTTTCCTCTATATTTGTTTGTATGACTTAATAATTTTTTTTGTAAAAAACCGAACCAACCGAACCAATCCAAACGGCATTAGTTTGGTTTGGTTTGGTTCAGATTTATTTTTAAAAGCCAACCGAACCAAACCGAACCGCGTATTTTTTTCTCTTGCGGTTCGGGTGATTTTTTGCTTCAAAACCGCCCAAACCGCACCGCGAACACCCCTAATCCCATTACAAATCCATCAAAATGCTATTTCATTTCCACTCTGGAATATCTAGCGGTTGCATCAATCCTGCAGGTTTCTAATGCTCAAATTTTGACTTTTGACAAGTCAGACAAGCATACACAAACCGTGTCACATCACTTTTCAATCCAGGACACCAAAATATCTTGTTCAAATCCTGATACATCTTAGTAGCTCCTGTATGGATACTTAAGATACTTCTATAACTCTCTTCCAGAATCATCCTTTTCAACTCAGAATCATCAGGAATACAAATTCTATCTCGGAATCTCAAAACACCCTGATCATCCATTTTAAAGTCATCCTCTTCAGTTTGATTACTTCATACCATCAAGTCTACCAACTTTACATCCAACTTCTGACTCTCTTTAATGTTGTTAAGAAAATCATTGTTTATCTTCAACATACCCAACATCACACTCTGAGGTGTTAACTCACAAACCAAACTCAAGTCTCTGGAATATTCAACAAGTTCTGACTCTCTAACCATCATAGAAGACATATGCAAAGACTTCCGACTTAAAGCATCAGCCACCATATTAGCCTTAACATTATAACAATCTCCACAACTCTTTAGAGTTATTTTAGAGTTGGGGAGATTGTTATAAAGTTGTTAGAGATATTCGGCCTCAGTACTCGAGCGTGATACCAAAGATTGCTTTTTAGATCCTTGTATATGGACCAAGAATTTACAACTCTATTTAGTTAAGCTTGCTTTTTTTAATTCAGTTATATTGCAGCAGTAGCTATGAACGATAACATATTTCATAGAAAAACTCAGTTATGAATGCAGTATACCCACTTATATGTGTTTTCTCGGCACATCGATCAATCCATTTCCCATCCTTATTTTTATGAGTTACCATGAAGAGCTCGTCAGAATTGGGTGGTCGATTTAATTTCTTCTCCTATAAATAAAGACATCATATATGTTTACATTAATGAATATCAGATCAGATATAAATATCTTGACACATTATAATTAAAATTATAATACATACCAAATCAAGAACAACATCATGATGAGCTCTACGTCCTGAGCTATGGACCGCCCCACCTTTGGTTGATGCTCGATTCTTATTATTTTATTTGGAGACAACAAGAAGCACTTAGATTTTAGGGTATTACAACAAGCACTCCAACAAAAATCTTGTCAAATTTAGAAGACATATTGCATCCTCTAAAAGAAGAAGACAACAAGAAGCGTATATCAAAGAGTATATGCTATGAGGGGGAGTTTATCCTTGAACTAATTCTGTTGATAGTGGAATTTCTTCCTAGATTGATATCCCCCAGAGTAGGTGTTGTTGTACACCAGACTGGATCATCATATATGTGTGTTATTATCTTTAAGTTTTGTTCAATTTTGTTCTTGATTGATTAACATGTCATATAAGATGTTGGAACATCTGTTACGACTCTGGACTGATAAGTTTTGTATCAGTCTTCTATATTTTTTCCATGTGTTATTTTGTAGAGATCAATGTCTCAACGTGTGTTAGGACATTTGTAATATGTATACCAGAATTTCAATCCATATCTCAACCAAATTGAACAAAGTAAAAAGGTAAAATGAAGTACTCAGAATATAGAACAACATAGAAGCCTTTGAACTTCAAAACAATGACTCAATCACGAATAAAAATTGCATGGAAGTAAGACATATACAATGAAAATTCAACAATCCAAAAATTACAAACAACACAAGTACAAACAAACAAACAAGGCCATTCATTCAGGCTCTCAAATGCATTGCATGGACAATCCTAAAGCATTGTGTAGATATAAAATGAGAGGAATGAAAGTAAAATGATCTTACCAAGTGGAATAGGTCCACTTGCTTGCTTCAATGGATTCAGAAATACAAGAAATCTTATTGTATACTCTTCAAGGAACTTGAAATGAGCAAGAGAATGCAGCTGGCTTGAGAGAAAAGAATGATTTCGAAGAAAAAACTTTGAGAGAATTAGAGGGTTTCAGATATGCATTTTTGAGCTTGCCAATGCATGTGTTAATGAATGAAGAGAGTAGTGTTGTTATATAGAGTGTGAGAAACAAGGTTAGCACCTGACTTAGGTTAAAAAAGGTTAGAGGGGCAGGTTTGGCATTTGAACAAAAAATGAGGACTGTGCAAGCTTGCATGCGTTTTGTGTACTTGTGACTGGAAAAATGGTGTGTTTTGTAGTGAAAATGAGAGTGATAAAAGTGTGAGAATTAACTTGCAGGGACATGTTGTATGCCTTCATGTATCGGGCATTCTTAACATTCTTTAGCAAACTCTACACAATCTTTAAGCATGATGGGCCAATACATTCCTTGTCGAAACAAAAGCCATTTCATCTTATGACCTACTTGATGTGACCCACATGTCCCACTATAGACACTAGAAAGGGATAAATATGCTTCATATTCACTAAGACACTTAAGTAGAACTCCCTCGGGTGTCTTCTTAAATAACTCATTACCCATAAGAATATAACTTAAAGCTTGATACCTGATTTTTCTTTCGACAGAAGTTGTTGGATTTTTCAAATACTCTACTATTAGCTTTCTCCAATCTTCGTCTGTTAAGCTGTCTATGGCCAGAGTTTCAAAATTCTCTTTGTCAGTGTACCCTAGCTTTGTAGTCTTTAAATCTGATGGGGATAATCTGGTTACAACAACTCTTCCTCTAACTTCAATTGCATCTTGTAGCTTTTCTTTTAAAATTTTGTACCGAGACACAATTTGGGCCAAGTCATTAGCCTCTTAATTTTCAAGTCGAGGTATAAGTCAAATACTTACCATTTTGAACTTTCATAGGAGTCGAATAATTATTACAAAATACATAGAGAGATTTTCTTTAACACACTTATACTCTTTTGTAATTTGTTTATAACTAACTCTGAGTCCCCCATTATTTTGACTCAAGTTGCCCCCAATTCCAACCATATTTCAAGTTCGGCTATCAAAACTTCGTATTCGGCCTCGTTATTTGAACAAAGGCCTTTGACCTTATACTTGAATTTTATTGGGATTTTATTAGAAGAAATGATTAACACTCCTACATCTATTCCATTCTTATGACTAGAGCCGTCGAAATATAATTTCCAAGGCTCCAGTTCAAGATAATCTAAAGGCCTCTCAACTATAGAGTGGTCGACTATAAAGTCTTCCATTATCTGTCCTTTAACAACCTTTAAAGGTGGTATATATTAGTGAATATTTAGTCAATGCAAGAGCCCATTTTCCAACTCGACTGTGCAATATAGGTTTAGATAACATATGTTTAATAACTTCGAAATGAGACGAGACATAAACATCAACTGGTTTTATATAATGCTTTAACTTTTTACATGAAAAATATAGACATAGACATAGTTTTTCAATTGTACTATATCTAGTTTCTACATCATTCAAAACTATACTAAGGTAGTAAATGGCCCTTTCAAAGCCATTTTCATCCTCTTAAGCCAGCATGCTCCCTAAGGTTACATCTGACGCAGGTATGTACAACTTCATGCTCTTATTTCTACAAGGAAGAGACACGATTGGAGGTTGAACAAGATAATCCTTGATCTTGTCGAAAGATTCTTGTTGAGCTTGCCCCCATTCGAAACTGTCTTTCTTAAGTCGAAGCAATGGTGAGAAAGTTTGAGTCTTGCCACTTAAGTTAGAAATACACCTCCTTAAGAAGTTAATTTTACCTAGCAGCGACTGAAGTTCCTTCTTAGTTGATGGCGCTTTCGCTTCCATGATGGCCTTGGTCTTGTTTTGATTTATTTCAATCCCTTTTTATGGACCATAAAGCCTAAGAAATCCCCAGCCTGCACACAAAAAGCACATTTAAGAGAATTCATATTCAGACCATGCTTCCTCATTCTTTTGAATGACTGCCGAAGATGGTCAATATGACTTCTTCCAGACACAAACTTAACAACAATATATATAAATGTTTCTATAAAGTCATGAAAAATTAAATTCATTTCCCTTTGATAGGTTTCCCCATCATTTTTCAAACCAAAAGGCATCACCATCCATTCGTAGGTGCCTAGGGCTCCAGAGCATCGAAATTGCATTTTTGGCACATCCTCTTTGGCAATGAAAATATGATTATAACCAGAGTATCTATCAAGCAGAATTAAGTATTCATGCCATGCAGTAGAATCAACTAACATTTTCGCCACAGGGATAGGGTACTCATCTTTTGGGGTCGCAACATTTAAAACTCTAAAGTCTATGCAAACTCTGAAACTACCATTTTTCTTAATAACTGGTACTATATTGGAAATCCATTAAACATACCTAGTCGTTCGAATGAAATTACATCTGAGAAGCCTTTCGACCTCCTCTTTGATCTTTGACAAAACTTTAGGTGCAAGCCGCCTTGGAGTGTGCTTGATTGCCTTTTTCATAGTCTTTATTAGCAGCTTCAGTTTGACAAGATCCCTGCTTAAACTAGGCATTTCATCATAATCCCATGCAAAACAATCCTTGAACTCCTTTAACAATTAGATTACTTCGACCTTGAGTTGAGGGTTGATGTTGCCGCTGATGTATGTTAGCCTTTTGATCTCCCCTTCACCCAGGTCTATCTCTTTGAGTGGATCTTGCGCTAGAATCCTCGTATTGTTTGCTAACGGATCCTTTTTGAAACCCAAATTCTCGTCATCATGGATGGCGTTAAGCCTCTGTCCTTGTACTTCGTCTTGAACCTTATCAGGTAGTTCTGGATCGAAGTCCTTTCTAGGACTCTCAAGGTGCCCCTCATCATTGCTGGCTTCGACAACCATGAACTTCACATCAGCCTCCAAGGCCGATTTTAGTTTATTTTCATCCATGTAGGTGTTGACTGAAGATTTTGATGATATTATTAGAAGCAAAGTAAATTGGACGTTTCGATTAAAATGAAACAAAACATCATGTTTCGAAATGGTAGAAGCAGTGCTTCGAATGGGCATATCAAAGCTTAGGAGCTTCGAGTGATAGTTATGAGAATATATCCAAAGAAGTCTCGAAATGATAACAAGGATGTGTCTAAGAAATGCGTTCGAAGCGAAGAAGTGCCAAAACATTTAAAATTCAAATGCAAGCGGGATGTTCGAAATTTGAAATATATGCGTTGGAGCATTCGAAGACGCGTGGAAGCAAGAGAGAGGCATTGCTCTGCATGTTCTGAACGTGGCAGAATCTTATAGCAAGACCGTTATGGTCGAAGTAGTATAAATAGAAGTCTTAGCATTAGGATTTCGTGTGTCATATCTATTGTACAAAAAACTCAGTAAACATTCAAATTACCACATGGCTAGGGAAACGAATGCAAGAGCAATGTACGTATGATAACACCACATGTTTATGATTTAATGAAAACTCTTTATCATTTCCAGTACTTTCCTTTATCTTTATGTCAATACCATTTACAAGTTTTTGCATTTAAAGTATTTTCATTCGAAATCTTTTCAGTAATGCCTTACATTTAAATGTTTTCTTTCTATTTCAAATACTTTACATTTCAGAAACTGTTATACATTTCATGCCTTTATCTTCAAGTTTTTATCATTCGAACACATTTTTCACTTAAAGCCATTTTACAGTTTTCTTGCATTTAAACGCTTTCTTCATATTTCGAATCTTTTATGTGATACGGTGGGAGAACTGACTAGGGTTTTGCGTTTGTTTTCGCAAATGTTTCGGTTGAGCAAGAGTCGCCATCGACTTTTTATTTTATCCTAAGGAAAGGTTTAAAAAGCACAGCAAAAACCTTTTGAGATTTTTCTTGGGTTCGGGGAGTAGATTATAGAAAGGGAAGGTATTAGCACCCTTTCTATCCATGGTTATCCATGGGCTCTTAGGTACTTGCTTAGATCAACTTGCCTTGGTTTTCAATTGTTTGAAATGGTGCTTGATGTGTGGTTTTGAAAATGTTTTGAAAAGATGCCTTGTATAGGCTACCCTTGTAACAATTCTTTACTCGAATGTTTTACAAAAGGTGTTTTGTCTTTTAAAAAGATGTTTCAAGGTTTTTGAAAGTTGATTTTGAAAGTGTTTGTGAAGTGGGTTTTGAAATTAGGCAAGTGTTTTCTTTGCAAATTGGCAAGTACTTAAGAGTTATCTACCCTAAAGTTTTCTCAAAGATTTTTGTTATGTTTTAAACCTTTTGACAATTTTGTTCCACCATTGCATTTGGTGGACAATCTTGTCTTAGGAGGTGAAAGGGACGAGCGCGGGTCATCGTTTAGACCATAATTGCAATAGTGTTAAATGTCTTTGGGCAATTTTCTTTAAAAGGGACTTGATCATTCATTTAAGCAACATTTTGTGGGACTATGATCATTTGATTGTTTATTTTTACCCAAAGAAATTCAACATACAATATGGCCCAATTATTTGAAGGCAACAAAGTGGAATACCCTAGGGGTGCAAGTGTGAAATGTGTTGTCCATTTTTCATGCATATTTATCTTGAGATTAGGTCCAACTATTTTGTTCGTTTTATTTACATACAAACCCTAGCTCTAACATAGTATGTTTAGAAAGCATTTAAAGTGTGAAATTTAAATTCCTATGCTATTACAACACAATAATATGGGGAGGGGGGGTACAATGTTCAAGTGGGGAGATATTTAGACAAGAAATTGAATCTAAGCTATTACATCATTTGCCTTGAATATTTACAATATGATCAAAAGCATAAATAAAATAGGAATAAAATAAATATGCAAGAATGCAAAAAGAATTTTTTATATGTATGAAAAAGTATTGTTTATGTAAAATAAAGAGAAAATAAAAAGGTATTATTTTTGGAGTATTTTCAAATTTAGGGCAAAACCCTAATTTTTAATCAAAGGGGTATTAATCAATTAATTTATATAATACTTATTATTTATATACAAAAATAAAATAAAATATGGTATATTTGTAAAAAAGGTATTTTTTAGTATTAAATATTAAAAAATAAAATATGTACATTTTTTGGCATTTTACCCTAAATGTATTAATATATATATATATATATATATATATATATATATATATATATATATATATATATATATATATATATATATATATATATATATATATATATATATATATATATATATATATATATATATATATATATATATATATATATATATATATATATATATATATATATATATA